AAAAAAAATGGCGAATAAGGATTACTTATGAAATATTAAGTCCCTCTGTCAACATCAGCTGAAGCTGAAGCTGGTTTTCCTTCCTGTGTAGGTAGGTAAACAAAACGTGATGTGAGCTTGGAGGACAGATGTGAGGTGGAATGGACACCCGCTCTTTGCTTTTACACTCAGAACGTCATACAGGCTGGTTGTGTACAGCTGTAAAGAGCACTGCACTGTGGGATGAGCCCTGGAAAATGATGGAGAGAGAATTGATCCTGTGTCATCCGAACAGCTGAGCAGCACTTGCTCTCTAATGGGGACTAACATGGAATCCTGCCTCCCTGTTACATCCCTTGGCCGGCAAGCTTTGCCGTCAAGAGCAAGAGAGGTGATGATTGTAAGCCAGGTTTCACTGATGACTGGCATGATGTTTCGCTCTCTGCTTTCTGCCAGTAGAAAGAGAGGTAATAAACACCTACTATTACAGGTTAGCAGGATCTATCCCTACAGCTAGCAGATGGCTACTGCAGCAGGAATCATGTACATGCATGCAATCCAGGTCTGAGAGAACAATTAGCTACCGTTACGGGCGTCCAGCATCAGACCTGTATGCGGCAGCAGATGAGTGGCTAACACCTACCATTAGGAGCAGACCTGGGGGGTCAAAATAACAGGCAACAGAAAGCCTTCATTAGCAGAAGACTGACTCTGACAGATAGTGGGTGAAAGAATAGCAGGAAGAGTCGAGAATTAGCAGGGCGAGGGGGGTAAGAGGAGAGAGCTGGAGATGAGGAGACCTGGGGACACCAGCAACCCCACTCATCAGCTGCCACAGAGATGTGACACGGCCATGAATTTCTCTGAGAGCTCCTACAGCCCATCCCCTCCGGGTCGGGGAAGAAAGCACGAGGGAAAATCGACAACGACCCGTCATTTGCGGTTCCTATACTGCTCACTCTGGACAACAACATGACACGCCCAGCCTTAAGAGGAGAGGAGGAGAGGCAGAGAGTGTGCAGTAGGGGTTCCCAACCCCCCGTCTAGTATTCCAGCGGGCTGCGGAACACTGGGGGTTTTGTGGAGGGGTTGGTCAGCTTCCAAAAATAAACAATATATTTTCATATTTTTACAACTCCTCACATTTGTCCGTTCTGTTCAGGTCTGACAAAAAAGATATAGTCACACCTATAAAACTGATCTGCCAGCACCCCCACCCAGCCCCCGTCTCATCCATGATATTTCTGTACTACATAGACCGGTCCGTCAACATCAAACGTTGGGAACCCCTTGTCTACAGTACCAGGCTGATACTGGATATTGTACTCTCACAAAACAACTCCCCAGGCACCCGAGAGGCACGTGGCGAGAGTCGGCCGGGTCGATACGAACACGCACAGGAGCCACGTCCAGCACGGCTCCCTAAGGAAGAGACGCTGGGTCCTTCATAGAGCCATGAACACTCACATCACACAGAGCCGTTCCTCCTGGGGATGTCCACGTGAGGTCTCATTTACAAACAAACACTCACACAACCGCCACCCCCCCCACACACACCCACACCAAGATGACTTTGTGGGGGGAAAATAACACAGAGAGGTGAGACGTAGCACTAATGGCAGGAACACAGCTGCAGATACTCACTGCACGCCGAGGTGGATGAACTAAATTACTGAGCAGACCATGAAGCCTCAGGCTTCACTACAAATATCAGGCTTGTTTGAGATGTACTCAGTCCTTGTCCTGTTCCAGGTCCCAAAGTACCTCATAAACCGACCCCTTTACATCCATCTTTCATAACTGTTTATCCTGTATGAGGGTCATGTTGGGCTTCAAGCCTTTCCGAGGAAGCAAGGGGCACAAGGCAGAGGACGCCCGGGAAGGACTGCCAGTGCATCACAGGGCACACACTCACGTACAGTAATTGCAGGCTATGAGCAATTTAGAGACACTGTTTAATCTAAACTGAATGCTATTGAACTTTTGGAGAAAACCAGTGAGACCAGAGGACCCATACGGTTCACTCGCTGCAGTGTGAAGAAAGCCGCAGCGATAACCACTGACCCCTTTACATGCTGTACTGAAATTACCCTTTACTCACACTACAGTCAACCTGTCTTTACCCCTATTCCCTCCACTTTCACCCCCAGATCCAAATAAAGGAGACATGTCCGGTCCCGTGTTAACATATTGGTATCGGCATTGGTCCCACGTGTTGGCACTGCCAGCCGACATTTCAGCTTTATCAGTATTCTAAGTTAGCGACACCAGTGCTGAAGACAATACCACCAAAATAATAGAGATGACAGCACTGGACGATCAGCCACCTTATGTAGTGGAGGACAAGGGATTTTGTCAGCTTGTTCAACACTTAGAAGCTTCCTACAGGCTCCCAAGTCGGCGCTGCCTCACTGACGTCTCACTGCCTGCAGTATTTGACGTGGCCGCTACAGGGAGCCTAAGAAGTAATGAAGACAACGTCAGTCTCTCTACAGATGTGCAGAGACGACGGCTACCGGTAACGGCCAAAATTTCCACATTGGTGCCCTGTATCGCCTTGCCTTCCTGTGGGTTAAAGTCACACGTCAGCCCGAGGAAACCTGTAGAGCCCGAGAAGACTTGTATCCTGAGCACCGGGGGGGCCTGATGCCCCTGATGCCCCCGATGCCCCCGATGCCCCCGCCCCGCACAGAGCACCGTGGGGCCGTTTTCAGCAAGGTGATTAATGACTGCCGCTCTGCAACGGCGTGGTAGGGCACAGGAGGGGACAAGGATGCCCATCTTCCACTTGAATGCCGTTTAAAGGGGTGAAATCCTCACCCATCTTAATACACCCTACACGCATGCTCACACGTGCCACGGATTTGTGGGGGTGGGTAGCAGTGGGCAGATGCTGGAGACCTGCACACTATTCAATGCGCACACCTGCGCAGACAATACAGGGACATTTCAAACCAGGCACACCTGCGCAGACAATGCGATGAGAGGCACTCACACATGCAGCTTTGAACCGTCTTGCTGAGGGCACCTGCACGGAGATGATTCACAAGGAAGGATGCCGCCACCCCCCCCCCCAACCCTAAAAAGAAAAAAATCTGAGGAGAATGAGCGATAGGGATGACTCATATTTAATTCAAGGTCGATGTCACAGTAATAGAGTTGTCACACTACACCCAAATGAACCCACCACCACACAACCCGGCAGATTGCATTTCCACGGTCGTCTGCGGAAATGTCCGGAGACTTCCGAGATGACGTGTGACGCAAAACACCCGAAATTCATTTCACCGTGGCTGGGAGTAGCTCCGGGCATTAGCTGGAGGACGGGGACGCGACCCCACTGTCAGTGGGACTAAATCACCTGCCAGGTGGATCACTCAGAGGAGCCTGACACCCGGCATATCCTATGGGGCAGCTCGTTGATAAAAATGTCTGGGGGTGGGGGGGGGACGTGTTTATTTACTCCCACTATCCCTGCGACATGACGCGACTGGTCAAATCAATCCATCACTACAGTTTCACTTGATAAATCCCCAGCGTGTTCCTCTTTGAGACATAATCCAGGCCTCTGCTGACACCTTCAGAGATACGGCGTCTCAGGTGCTCGCAGGGGCGAGTCCCCACCCACCGCCGCCCTCGGCTAAAATCAAAACAAAAAATAAAAAAAGAAGTTTCAGAATCTCTGCCGGGAGTCTGTGCTTTTGGCTTTGACCCGCGTACCTTAACTCGCTCATGCAAAGCAATTTCTCAGCCTATTCACATCAGAAATACATTTAATACATCTTTATTTTATTCTATAACCTTCAAAAATACAATAACCGTCTGCCAAGAGGGTATTCATATTCTTCCAGATTTCCTTGGTATGCTGAGAAGATGAGCCACCCCCCCAAATAACTTTATTATGGTCTTCAGAAAAATCTGATTTCACCGCCACCCAATTAGATAAACCTGCAGCACTAAACTGAGCGAGGCTACGTGGGCGGCTTCTCCTAAAAGGTGCTACGTCATCATCGTCTCGCAGGGTGAACTCCATCGATCCAATCACAAGTCATCGGTGAATCCTATACGCCATTAACTGACCAATTACTCTCCTCGTTTCTCTGTTTTCCTTTTTCCATTGGCAGGATGGAATGCATTTGTTTATTGGTTAACGACAGCAGCAGAAGGCACCCCCTGAAGCCAGTCACGATAGCATCTCCGGTGACTCATTAAGCCTGTGATTTGTATGGGGCTCCTCGCTTTATGGTAGGCCGCCCCGGCGGGAAATGAGGCTCTAATTCTTTTAAATGCCCTGCCGCCACTGGCTTTGAGAGAACTGGGTGGGGGGGGGGGGGGGGGATTGAGGAGGAGCCCGTCTGAGGGATCGCTCCACCAGCTCGCGAGTCCTTTGGGAGACAAGCCGGCAACCCGAAAGCCATTGCGGGCCCGCTACTCCGGGGGCTCGTGGGCCGACAATCTCACGTCTCGGTGACTTTCTCATTTCGGAGGCTCACGAAAGTGGAAAAAAAAGAGAGAGGATTTTATTGACTCTTTAAGGGGTTTTACTTTGTGACCTGATTTACTGAGCAACAGAAACAACATCTCCGAAAAGAGGGGAAATCAAGCCAGGATGACATCAGTGCCACGCAGACAGTCCCTTCCGAACGGGCTGTGAAGTGGCGACTCTGTAATTCAGAACATCGTCTAACAGTACGATTCCATAAATTACAACCTTTAGATGAAAGCTGCAGCATGAAATAGCGATCAGAATAACTTTTTCTGGATCAGCAGTTTTGAAATACTGTTTGACCCCTGAATATATATGAACTGTCAGGATTGGCTTTGTGATAAACAAGTTAAGAAGCTATAAGCCCATGGATCCAAAAATAAGGTTCTTCAATTCAAATTACCAGGAATTCGAGTCACAGGTGGTATTCTTTGATAGACATCACACTCATTTGAGCCTTACACTGTACCAGATCATCTCTAGCCACTCTTATAGCCTGAACAGACAAATAAAGTAATAGAACAGCGCCTCCTACCTGTCGGGGATCCCTCCAGAACCTCCCCGGCGTAGCGGGCCTCCTGGAAGATGGGCCTGTTGTCGTTCTGGTCGATCACAGACACTTCCAGGGCAACGGGGCCTTCCACTACCTTTCCACTCAAGTCCGTGGTGGACACTTCCAGCTGCGGCGGGAAAGGACACAAGAACAGAGTGGTCGGCTTTCAAACGGGACACGCGACGGTCCAGTTGGGGAGCACTGCCCCCGATTAATATTTCTGTATGACCGAAATACCTCTAGGTCTGTCATATGGGCTACAGACTACAGCCACTTAGTGGTCTAGAAAATACTTAATAAACCTGTCCTCCCTTTAACATTCCTGTATATAAAAAGGCATGAGTCATTGCATTCCTCATACAGCCGATCTCACCGGTGTGAGAAAGTTCCCACTGCATGTGGGTGGAACCATTAGTGGTCCTGAAAGAGACGGTCAGACGTGGCTTTTCTGAACATCAAAGATGACAGTGACACGGCAAAATTGTGCCAGACCTGGCACCGACGCAGAGAGAAATGACACGTACTGTTAAAATCACATGCAGACTTCCGCGCAGGAGAAAACCAAAAGCATGAATCTGCGTCCTTGCTGCTTCTGCATGGTACATGCAGAGTCGTTAACTTGGAAACAATCCATTAAGAAAAATGCAAAATTAAGTTCAGCTCTGCCAGCTACACTTGTCCTCCTACATTACATGAACTTCAGCTGAAAACCTGCTTTATTCTGTATATAGCATTTTAAATTTGGACAAGGCAGCATGACTTTTCCCTGATGATGGCAGGGATTATGGGATATTACTGACTGCTTAGGACTTTTACTCATAATTCTAAGGCCAGGGTCAGAGGACAAATTCTTACGGCCGTCCATTGATAAACTACAATCAGAACAAGGTACTTGACTAAAAAAAAGGAAAAAATTAGATCGACCAGCGCTGATCCAAGGAAGATGAAACTGGAGATCAATGGTGCAGCTTAACCCTTGACACTGTAGAGAGATAAACACCTTCAGCTCCTTGGGGTGCAGAACAAAGCACTGGAACACCGCAGCTGCCTTATGCCAATTCATCCCCTAACACAGAGTCCTGCCCGAACCCGGATCATGCCAAAATCCCGATATGGCACAGATCTAATATGGGAAGCGAACAAGTGCAGAGAGAGAGAGAAAGTGGGGGGGCTCCTCCCACGATTTACAGGGCCGTGCCTCCATGTGCTACAAGTAGAAATACCCTAATATTAGACCGGAAAGGCAATGCAGGGAGGAAACCCTCAAAAAAGCAACAAGCCCACACACACACACACACACACACAAATATACATACACACATACATACAGTACTGGGAAAAATTAAGAGACCACAGCAAAATTTTCAGTTTCACTCATTTCTCAGTTTATAGGAATGCACCCGTGTAAAATATACTTTCGCAAACTCCAGCCTTGCTCTCTCCTGCTTCTCATTAATGAAGGGCTTCTTCCTTGCTTTATGGGTCTTCAGTTCTTCTAGGAGCCTGTTACAAACTGCCCTTGCAGTGCACATCATACCACTTAATGTTTCCCATTCATTTGAAGGTCACTTGAGGTCATCTTCTGATTTATGATGTACTGCTAGGTAAGTTGTCAGTCATCTCTGGCATTAGAAAGTTGCTTCTTCCCTCTATCTGGCTGGTTTTTGGTTCTTGCCAGTGTCTCCTGCTTCACCTTGTTGTTGAGTAACTGCTGTCTTAGAACCTTTGAGCCTGGAAGCAGCCTGACACGCAGTGTAGCCTTCTGCCAGCAGAACCAGGATTAAACCGGGATTTAAAAATTATATATAATTTATATATTTTTATATAAAAATATATATTTATGTGTAAAAAATACACACACATACAAACACACATGTTGGTGTAGCTATCTAAATTGGGACGTTCCATTAATTTCTATGGGAAAAACTCTAATCCTACTCACGACACCCTTTAACCCTATGCAACCCTAACCTTGAGTAACCAAACAAAATACAAGGACATTTTGGTTCCGAAATATGATCTATGAAACCCCCCCACCACACACACACACACACACACACACACACACACACATACACATAAACACAGACTCACTACCACACATTATACGTATTCACTCTTGGTGCTGTGGGCTGCCCGAGTTGGATGGTTGTTGGGGGACCTCCTAACCCTTTATAATCATCAGAGATAATGAGCGTCAGGCAGTTCAGTCAGTGACAACCCAGTGACTTCAAAGCCTCAAACTCTCTACATGTGGCAGCGCAGGAAAGTGTCCAGCAAGCCGACAGGCCTTCAGATGCAGCCCAGCTCCTCCAAGAAGAAAGACTGGCGTCCCTGTCTGCTGCCATCGACCCACCGGCACAGCTTCCTTCTCCTGAAGCAAAATACCTTTGTCTTTAAAACGTGGGGGCATCTGGCAGCAAACAAAAGTGGGGGCGGGGTAGGGAACCTGACGTCACTGCTGGTGAGGAACAGCCATAAAGACCCACCAGAGACGGGTGATTATCTGCTTTCCAGCCCGATCCTTGGCCCCACTTATGCGTCCACTGGGCCGAGGGAGGCAGTGCTCTCCCGGTGCCCCATTCCATTCAGGAGCGGCACAACTTAACGCAGCGCCGACGTGCTAACACCCGCAGAGCCGTCGGAAGAGCCTGACAAACAGGAACTGTTCATTATCCAAACGGAGTCACTGCACAACTTATCCTGATGACCAATGTGCAGGGGCCTGTGGTCAACCAATCAGTTCCTCTTTGTTTTATTCATGCATTCTCTCACACAAGCCCATATTTAATAACATCAGCACGACCCAGCTCGGAGCTCGAGAGGTTTGGATGCTAATGGCTCGATAGATCATTGTCCGCTGTCTACCGAGCCACGGGACGTACAGGGGGTGAATGGCATTGCAGGGGAGGGATAGAAGTCTTCGAATTTATGGCCTCTCAGACAGGAATAAGGAAGTGGGTGGAGCTTCTGCAGCCAAATCTGCAGGGAGGTGGTGGGTGTGGGGAGGTACTGACCTCCACCAGCAGGCGATGAATCACTCAGGGCTCCTACCAAACACACCCAGGTACACAAGCACTGGCTATCAGCAACTCTGCATTCACTGTCACATTACTGCAACCTTTCATTACTTACTCTACCTCAATAAAATATTTCAAAGGTATTAACATACAGAAAGCACTGTTATTTATTTATTTTTTGAAGCAGCTCCTTAAATAAGATGATTTTTTTCCCCTGTGGGGGTAATAGGTCTAATTTTCAGTTTCTATCCTTGCTGTCACACCCCGCTTGTCCAATCCTCCTGTGTGCCACACCCCCCTTGTTAACCTCGTGTGGGATCCCCGTGTTTACCAGCTGTTTCGAGTTGTTTTCATTAGTTGTCTGTATTTAAGTCCACGTCAGAGTATGTTTCCCTAGTTCTGTCATTGTATTGTTGTGAAGTCATACGTCTGTTTCGTGCCCCGCCTTGTCGACCGCCATAATAAATCCCTCGTTCCCCGCTTACTTTGTCACTGCTCTGTACTTCCCTGGTTTCCCCGTAAATAAACCCCATTTCCTGATCATTCGTCTCCCTGCTTCTGCTTCCCTGGACGCTCTGTAACACTTGCAAGGAGATTGTCACCAAAAATTTGCAAAAACATAAGCAAATACATACACGCAATGATGCAGGGCGAGCCCTAACCTTAACCATAAGTAACCAAACAAAATACAAGATGGTTTTTTTGCTAGTTCTTGCAATTGTAGTCACAGATTTTTATTAATTTGAATTTCCCCTTGCGGGGACCGAAAATGTGGCCCCCACAATGTCAAAATAACAGGTTTTTATCACACTGTGGGTACATTTGTAATGTATATCTGACCCACTCACACGCACACACACTCACAGACACACACACACACATGCGCACACCTTCAAAGATAGCAATCCTTTAAAGTGGAATTCCACCTTCTGAATGATTTATCCGTCCAAGTGTATCCAAGGTAAATTGTACTGCATACACAAGACATTAGTTTTTTACTTTCCAAAAACTGCACCCTCTGGCATCATCAAGATACATTTATATTCTGATTTAAATTGAAATCCCACGGAAAGCAAAATCTACGTTCTCTGGAAATCATCACTCTGATCTAAATATTAGCATGCACATATAAATAGATAGATAAGTATCTGCCATAGCATGTAGACTGAAAAATAATTATCAGGATATGTATGACCAGCTGTTTCCTGCAGATCTAAAACGTATCCTTAAGAAACTTAAGAGAGAAGGATATGTTTTTTATGGACTGTAAGTTCTACCACAATAAACACAAGCATACCAAACAAGGTAGGTCTATGTCATGAAGGTGTCTGTACAAGAGAAGAACCAGTATAAACAAGAGACAGAAGGACGGACGGACAGACAGATAGACAGACAGACAGATAGACAGACAGACAGACAGACAGACAGACAGACAGATAGACAGACAGACAGACAGACAGACAGACAGACATATAGACAGACAGACAGACAGACAGATAGACAGACAGACAGTGCCCCCTCAGAAACACCCCCCTCTCCTAAGCACAGCACCTCACAAGGGTCGCCGCTCTCTCACAGCCCCCACCCCCTGGATTCATACACACCAGACGCCTGCGATTTCTCAGTCCGTCAGATTGGCAGCCAGGAATCACCCCTGCTGCTGCTTTATCCCTTTTTTTGTTGTTTGTTTATATCCCTGCAGGATGTTTATGGCTCTGTGGAGTTCCTCACTCTCCCAGAAGCCTGAGGAGGCCTGCCGTCACGCACAGCACCAGCTTATCCCCCCACTGCCAGGCGAGAAGACTCAAACCATTTTGTCAGATAGCTCTCTGACTTGACCCATTAAAGTGACCCTTCATCCTCACCAGTAGGCAGACACAAAGAGCTACTCAGTACAGACTGGGACACGTACAACACCCCCCCCCCCACCACCACCACCACCACTCCCACGTGTCAACTGGGTGCAGAAATGTGGGCTTCTTCACATTGTGTTCTACATCGAGTATTCCTGTGGTGGCAAAGAGACACCAGGAGAAAACATGAGAGGACATCCTGGCATGAGAGGACATCCTGGTATGAGAGGACATCTTGGCATGAGAGGACATCC